TGAGGCCACCAAACCCTCTCTAGCAATACTACGTGTCCTACGATGGAAAGAATTGCCACAGGCTAGCTGATGGCTCCGTCCATCTCAAACACTGTTACTCCTTTGCCACTGGGACCCTTCTTGTGTGGGAACATAGGACAGTTCAGGTGGACACCAGTGTGACTCCACGGAGGGTAGTAGGCCTGTCACTGGTACCCATCCTTCCATCTGGATGGGTGGCCGCAATGTAACTCCACATGGGAACTGGAAACCACATAATCACATCCCATCACTGTCAGGGCTAGAGAGAAGCCAGCCAAGCGCCTGAGGCTCAAAACTTTAAGAGGTGCTCATTCCCAGGGTCAGGCGAGTGCACAGTTGGCCCCCTTACATTTTTCTGCCATGGCATCTCCCTTACCTCACCCTAGTTCCTGGCTCGGTATCCATTAAACCTTGAGGAAATGCCTCCCCAGCTTCACTTTCCTTGGCTGATCCCTAAAATAAACATGGCCACTTCAAAGCCACTCTAATAGTTAGAGTGGAAAAAAACTGTGGACTTAACTGGTGGTGATTAAACTATATTATTTTGCCAAATTTGCAGAACATAACCACATGTTCACATTGCTAAGGCCCTCGGGGCCTTGGAAGGGATTCTTTGCAGGTGAGGAGCTCTGGATTCAAGCATCTAGCCCAGGGGGAGGGGAACCTTTTATCTGCCAAGGGCCGTTTGGATTTTTATAACATCATTCGAGGGCCATACAAAATTATCAACTTAAAAATTAGCTGTGAAAAAAGCTCCTGGATTTACTGAATTTCGAGTCCTGACTGCGGGTGCCTTGGCGGGGCCAGGCCAAAGGATTTTGAGGGCTGTATCCAGCCCTCAGGCCTGACGTTCCCCACCCCTGATCTAGCCTCTAGATAAACCCACCTCTGCATTCTGACCGTGGCTGTACTTCCAAGTCTGAGTTTATCACAAGGGCTGATCTTTGCTTTCACGTTGATTAAGAGCACAGGCTCCGGAGCTGGGCTGTTTGGGTCTGGACTTGGCAGTGCCACTTACTAGCCTGTGGGAGCTGAGCATTTTATTTAACAGCTCTGTGCCTCGGATCTTATACCCACAGGATGGTATGTTAAGATTAGATGAATTAGTTCATGCGGAGTGCTTACAGTTGTGTCTGGCACATGATAAAAGCTCACTACTTATTAGCTATTGTCATTTGTATTACCAGTTGCAGTACCAGTAACTGTGTTGGTTGTAGGTGCCTCTTCTCACACACCCTAAACCCCCAAGAGAGGCTCCCCTGTTTTCTGAATGGACTGTTGACACTGTAAGAGAAGGGAGACAGGAAGTTGTCAAAGAAAAATGGATTTTTTTTCCAGATAATACTGTCACCAAATTGCAGTTAAGTAAATGAAGGAATTGGGGCCATAAAGAAATCTGCTGTTTCATGGCGTGCGAAGGAGGAAGTCCCATGAGCATTAACAATGGGCCTGCCATCCTTTTGCTCCCAAATGAAAAAAGAATACAGTATTTTAGAAGGAAAAAAAAAAAATCATACTATGTTTTAACAAAAACATGCACGATGGAGTTTTAAAAAATAAAATTAAAAGTTGCCTGTTAATTCAGTTTCCTTCAGACCACATGTTCCCAAAAGACACTTCATTGTCCCCCTTGAGTGGAGCGCTGTGGCCGGCCAGGGG